GGCAAACCATGGCTTACAAATGGTTCAGCACCCACAGCCCCTGGAAAGAACACTGTCAACCACCCATCCGCGCCCTGGCTGGGAAGGAAGGCTCTTCCTAGCAGAGTTCAGGGCAGCAGTTTCCCTGACAAGCAAAGCAAGAGAAGGGCTGTGAAAGGGTCAGCGGAAGTTCCCTCGCTTCAAATCTTTCCTGTTTCCTCTCACCCCTGCTTTCCCCACCACGGGACGCAGCATGGTCTACAAGTGGTGTGCCTAATCTGGTTGGAATTTCCTCCTCCACCCACCTGGCATTCTCCCCACAGTCATGAGCACTCCCGACCAGGGGTTCTCACATCCACCCCAAGTGCTGGGCTAGGCCACCTCGCTACTTGGCACTTTGGCACTTGCCATTTCACTTCGGAGCACCAGGAAGAAAGTCATGGAAACCCTGCTGCAAACCCCAGGTGGGGAGGAGCAAGTAGTTGCTAACCATTTGGAGAAGCCCAAAGCCCGAGGGAGTGGAGTGGCCATGCTCTCTCCCTCGTGCCGCCACCGTGGGGACTCAGAGCTGACGGGAGAAGGGAGAAAACAGGCAGCCCAGAGTCCCGGGAGCCTGGCCCTTCCCAGATTAGTGAACACTCACATCCCACCACCGTGAAACGAGGAGAGGACACGGAAGGGGCAGAAAAGTTGCCGAAGGTCTTCCGACACCCATTTAGTAAACGCAGGCTGATGCCAGTGGGAGCTCGAGGGATTAGCGATCATCGGGTTCAGGGTCACTCATATTTTGGCCATAACCCCCAGCCAAAAGAGCACTTTACACAGCCACTCAGGAACACACACACACACACACACACACACACACACAGAGTTTCATGGAGCAACACTTCCTTACTGCATGCCATGCATGCTTATACCCTGTTCTCACCCATCTGTCACTTTTAAAATGTTGATCCTGCTAATGGGTCACCTCCCAAAGTTTAAAAAACACAGGGGTGGGATGGGAAATAGTACTGAATATTACAATTTTAAGCATCAGCGAGGCTAGACTTCTGGACCTATAACCATAAATCCAAGCAGTTTGCTTAAGCTCTATAGTCCACACTATCTAGGACAGAAACATTGAAAAAAGCAGGCCCACCCACCACTCATTTAACTTCACAACATCAAAGTGAAAAATCAAAGAACATGCCTTAGAAAAAAACAAAACTTTTCTTCCAAGATGCAATTTACGTTGATGTGGCTTCAGTCGACATAGTGATCTGAAATTTCAAGTAACATAAAAGAGGACAATGGGTGTTCTGTGTTTACAGAAAGGGGGGGGGGGGTAAGGTTAAAAATGGGGAGAAATACTGAACTGGTCCCCAGCCCCCATTTTATTTACGAGTGACAAAACCAAGAGACAGAACAGCGCCTAAGGCATGAAGCAAGTTAGGGGCAGGGCTTGAAATCCAACCCCGGGCTCCTGACTCAATTACTCACAGTCTCCATTATCCAAAATATTTAAAAACACAGTCAAGGTCTCTCCAAGTGAAGCTCTGCCATGACTGAAGCGTGGAGAGGCCCTGATAACTCATGGTCGGCGCAGACAACCGAGCTGATCTTGGCAGACCTTGGCGCTCCGCGCAGCCTCGCTGGGGTCTTAACTCTCTCTGTGCTTCTTCTCAGAGAAGAATAAGCCTTGCTACCCCTTCCAAAAATGTAGCCAAAAAATGAGAGGTGCTTTAAAACCAAACCTGCATGCTTAGGACAGAAGAACCCCTATGGGGCATTTATTCAGGGTCAGAGTTAGAATCCAGGACCCAGAAGACCTTACTCATTAGCTGACCCAAGCCTTCATTTTACAGTCAAGCCCCATAAGGTAACAGCTAAACCAGTTCCTTCTTCACACACTATATTAACCCGTCCACTGGTGAAAACTGCCACAGAAAGTTACACAAAATACCGGCCTCTAAGGGGCAGGAGGAAGGGCAGGGAGGAAACTAAACACAGATCACACAATTTTAATACATGAGACAAATGTCTCTTTACAGTGTCCAAGGGAGCTCAAAGGGCATGACTGTTTTTCCACTGATCCTAAAGGTAAGCTGAAATGATGCTCTGAACCAAACTCGAAGCACAGAGGCCAAGGCCTCGAAGTGGTACGGTTCCTTGAGGCAACATTCATCTCCCCGCCCCAGTGGGTCTGGTGCCTGCTCAGATGACATCCTCCTGCTCCTAACTTTCCCTACACTCTGTCCAAGGCACTTGAGACAACAGCTTCAAATATGGGGAATTTTATTACATGGGAGGGATTCTTTCCTATACAAATGCCACCTGGTATCTGTCCAGGGTGTTTGCCGGAGGAGCTCTGTCAACCTAAGAGACAAGACCTCCCCCACCCGCTCCGTAACCCTAGCAGGCGAGGACCATTCCTCTCATTCCCCGCGGGGACACTGAAGGGACAGAAAGGGTGATGGCTCAGGCCCAATGGCACAGACTCTCACCTTACCATGAAAACCCATGCCATCTCTCACTGGACCTGTGCCTCTCCAGCCACTGACTGCCAGCTCTGAGAGCCGCCCAGGGCAGGGAAACCCTCTGAGTTAGACAGTCTGGCCTTCACACGGCTCACGTGGGGCCAGCATCAGCAATAAGATACAGCTACCGGGAAGGGGAGGGGGGGAACTCTGTGGGCCAGCCATTCAAGGCCCCCAATCTTCCAAAGCACAGTGGGGCTGGAATCAGAGGATGAAAGTGGGCAAGTTAATCAGTTCACCTCTCGGTGCCTCGGTTTCTCCATCGGTTCATCGCCAGGCTTGCTGTATGAATTAGATGAGTTGTGCCTGCACAAATGCAATGTGTCAGTAGTAGCATTACTTCCCTGCACTAGTCTATCCCCGAGGCATGGAGTGTCCTGAACAAACTGACAGCAGCTCTCTGTCAGACAGACAGTACCTGCCTGGCTAAAGCTGCCTCCTTACAGGAACGCATTAGAAACTACCTGGCGAAGTGTCGGGCCAACTGAGCGCCTATTACACAACCCACAGTCAAGGGCTGCGTAGCACACCCTCTCCCCACCTGCCGGCCTCCCTGATACAAAAAGAGCAGGCAAATGTCACTGCAGGTCTCACTGCCTCCCTGCTGCTCCGCTGCCCAAACTCCAGGGGAAAGGGAGCAGAAACACTTAGGGAAGGGGATCAACAGGGCACCGCCGAACCGGCACCCCCAAGAGAGCCGCCAAGACCCAAGAGAACCCCTGCCACTCCCAAGACCCCCAAAACACCCGGGGAGCAGAAACCACACGCCGGAGACGGCGGGTGTCCACACGCCGGGACGGGAAGGCACGCGGCCCGTCGGGAGACACGTTTCTCAGCGCGAGCGTGGTGAGCGCTCCCGGCGGCCAGCTCCCTCGGAAACGGCGCACGTGTGGGCGGCCCCGGGCGAGCGCGGGCGGCGCGCTCCTCTCGCTGCGCCTCGGACACCGGGCGCGCCAGCGGGAGCCGCGAGGAGCCAGGACTCTCACACCCTCGGGTCGCGTGGGCAGGGCAGGCGTGGAGACTGTGCAAAGCTGCACCGATCGCCTCCCTCGGGGACCCCGCACGCACGCGCGCGCTCTCCTCTGCTCGCTCGTCCCTCAAGTCTCCTCGCACCTCACCTTCACTGAGTCTACCGGGTACATGACCATGTGCTCCATGATCCCGGCCATCGCTCCGGCTGTCATGTGGGTGGATAAGGAGGCGCTGGTCGGCAGGTTCTCATAGTCCTCCGACCCGGCGTCCTTGCTGCCGCCGCCGCCATCTCGGCAGTCCCCATCCATCCTGCGCCCCACAGTCTGGCTCCCCATGCCGCCGCAGCGCAGCTCCATCCGCCAGGTCCACCGCCGCGGGAGGCTGCAGGAGGTGGGCAGGGAGGGGGAGGGGGGGAAAACTTCACTTCTTAAAGTGGGAACCACCTCCCGGGTGCTACGGCGCCTGACGCCATGGCGGGCTGGGGTGGAGCGGAGGGGCCCGAGCCACCAATCACTGGAAAAGAAGAGGCCCGCGGCGGCCGCGCCATTGGTGTGCGGGCCAGTGAGGACCCGCCTCCCTGTGTGACGTCACTGTCCAGTGCAAATTTCCAAGCAACCGGAGGGGGGCGAGAAGAGACGTTGGGGAGTCCCGGGAAGTTGTACCACCTCAAGGCTGGTGCTGCCTCCCTTGGGGCAGGCAGTGGGGGCGGTCCCTGGAGAGGGTCCGCCTGGCCACAGAGGCGCTATGCATAGGGTTGCAGGGGGAGCAGGAACAGAGGCTCAGGGGAAATGGCCCCCAGAGCCCAGGGTTTTGCAAACAGTACTGCTCAGCAAGCTTTGGCATTCCTCAGGCCTGGAGGTGACTGCAAATGTCGCTTATGGAGCAATTATGGTGGCTGGATGGGGAAGGGAGTGGCGTTGGAGAATTGAGGACATGCTGCGTCATAGCAGGGATGCACCTACTTTTGTGCAACACGAGGGAGGGGACTGAGTTGAAACTCAAGGTCCTGTGATAGGCTGCTTGGTAGGGGAGATTACCCATTTATTCGAAATGTTTTCTCTCACTGCAAACACATCATAATAGAACTAAGTTTATTCCTCCCCTTATTCTCACACAGAGGCTAAATCCACCCTGCCCTGGACTAACCAAGACAATAAGGAGTAACCAAGATGGATCCCTTCTGGGCAGGCCCCCCCCCCAGCCCATTTTCCTTGGAGCTGACATGCCTAGAAGGTGGTTAGAGGCTTGCTCCCATTGGAGGGCTGCAAAGTAGCTGAGTAACATCTTGCAGCCTTGTATCTACCTGCCTGTCTTCTAAGACTATGGTCTCCCAGTTCTTAAGTTCATTCTTTATTTTAACCTAAATAGCACTGTCTTGCTCCATCTGTGGGAAGGGAAAGGAATCAGAAAGTAGAGGAGTGACCTGTTTATGGACGTCTCCGTGAAAGCATGACATTTGCAAGTCTAAATGTATGTGTTCTGGGCTAAAGATTTGGCTCTAGCTGATCAACTTCTCCCTCACCAGACACCTTATCCAGGGGCAGCTTCTGGGCAGGAAAGCTGGGCTCTGAGATAGGAAAGGGAGGAGGCCCTGAAGATGCTGTGCCCACACCCCAGTCCCAAGGTTCAAGCTACAGCAACCCTGGCGGCTCTCGGGGAATTGAGATACAGTGATGTGAGCATTGTCAGTAGAGGCTTCAAGGCCAAGGGCCCCCATTGCCCCATTTTTGGGAGCTGCCAATAGTGGCTCCCAAAGTGAGTGCTAAGGATGTGATGGAAGCAAGCTCTGGGTTCAGCGTTTAGAGAGAAGAATTTCCCTGCTTTTGCCAAGGGTGATTTTTAAAAAACATTGATCAAAAGCTGTTGATATTCGCTTACAAATGGATACCCCTTAACCAGTACATATTAACCCATTGTCCAGTTTCTGGAAATGTGACACAAAAGTCTGAAAATGCATGAAGCTCTTCTTCAAAGCATTATTTGTAGCCATAAATAATTGGAAATGACCTAAATGTTCAACTAGAGAGAAATGGCTAAGTAAATGATGGCACATGTAGTAATGAAATATTATGGGCCCATTAAAAATTGTGGTCACATTATGCAGCATGGGAAATGGTGATGATGCATGTTAGGTAAAAAAACAAAACAAGATTTTATAGATATTACATCCACAAAAATGTAAATATGCATATCAAAAGAGTGAAGTGGTTATAGTGATAGTGATGTAGGATTACAGGTAACTATTTTTATTATATTTTTCATACTTAAATAATACTTGTGTCATTTTCACAATTTAAAAAAATGAAAGTGAATCATTATTTTTAGGATATAATCTCCCAATGCATGAGAAACCTTCTGAACTTTGCCATGGTGATATTGGTGGAGAGAAGTCATCCTTGGGATGGTTAAGAGGACTCTCAGCATATATGAACATGCCCATTAATCTTCAACGATATAGATTTTTAAATTTTTTATTAAATAAATGTTAACCCAGAACCATTTAAAATATTTGAAATATTTATTAAAAGCAGTATTTTTACCTCACCATATAAAGTAGGTATAGTGGTCAGGCACTCAGCATCCAATTAAACTCCTCCTTATACTGCAGTTGCTAGAAAATTTTAAACTACAATTCTCTGACTCCTTTGCAGCTAGGACTCTAGAGTGAATTATATTCTGCCAATTAGATGAACTAGAGAGCTCTGGGAGGTGGAAGGGAGATAGAGGCCACCTTCCTGCTGCTTTCATCTTCTATTGCCTCGCATGGTCATAGACATTTGGGTTAGGAGCAGTTGGGGTAGGCAGTAGCTTCTCTATTGCAACAGCTTTGCAGTATCTGGTCTCCAGGTGCATAGTTGCTGCGAGGCAGTGTAGCAGGGGGATGGCAACAGTGATGGCAGCATCCTCCTGAGCCCTGCACCATCGCTTCAGTAGATGGCCTTTCTCACCCAGGTGGCGGAGGGTCCCTTTAAGAGGCCAGTTTGGACCTGGGAGTTATCCCTGAAGGCCCGGCAAAGGGTCGGCTCCTCGCCCATTCTAACAATATCGTGTATAGTAGACAAAGCCTGCTTAGAGACAGGTGACATCCCAGACACTATAACCAAGTGTTTTGGCCACACTGCCAACAAGGAAGGAGCAGTGTGGGGACCCCGGAGCACAGCAGTGATCCTCTCGTGTGGGATGGGCCATACACCCAGAATGACTTGTTGGTTCCACCAAAGTCTTACGTAAAGTTCCTGAACGTTGAAATTCTGAAAATGTCATGATATTGCCCTAGCCCTACCGGGAACCAAGCTCCACATAGAAAGAGGAAGCCACAGAGGGTGTCTGTTGAAGAGCACTTGACTTGGAGTCATGGGCCCTTCAAGCCCTGCTTCTACCATTTACTAGCTGTGTGGCTCTGGCCAATTTGGTTGGCATGCTCCCTCCTCTGTTGACCATGGACACTGATACTTAACACATGGTGAATGAAATATAGAAAAAAGTAGACTAAAATCTTATGAGGAATTATATATAATTTGGGGGTATTGGAAGAAAAGAGGACGGAAAGGAGTTATGGATACAGAGGGAGGAGACTCAGGCTTCTCCAAAATCCTGCTTTTTTCACTGTCATTACTCTAGACCTGACATCTGCCTGCCCACACAGATACCTTAACACCCTACCCAGATGTAGCCAGTGCTGTGTCTCCCCTGGGGCCCTGCCAGTGCTCTACCAGAGAGGAGGCCCGTTCCATGGAGCAGCTGCAGCGGGTGATGTCTCCTGGAGCCCCATGTGGTGCGGCCCCAGGGTGGAGCGTGTGCTTTCTGTCTTTGTTTTTGTCAATGTACGCCATCCACATCCCCATTAATTTTAAGCCTACTTTATATGTTGAGCCAGCGCCTCTGGACATGCAGGTCCCTCCCTCATATACAGATCTGTCCTGTAATCCCAGAATTCCTTGATTTCTCAAGGATGGCACTGTGTTTCTTAAAAGTTTAGACTTAGGCATGAGTCTCCCATTGAGAAAGAAGAAATGGAGATAAAAATCTAGCCATACTCAGGATCCCCAGACCAAATAAGGAGAGTGTGGGAGAGAGCCATCAGAGGCAGAGAACCCAGCGCTGTCTCACTTTACCAGGTGTTGTTTACAGAGGGCGCTGACTGGCCAGGGTCAAAGCTGCGGGGGGGAGAGAAGTGTTGACCTGCCCTGCCTCCTAAGAGCCTGGCAGGCTCGTGCTTCCGCAGACACCACTGCTGAATCCAATCGTCCCATGTGATGTGGACCGGGTCCCACTGCTGTGAGACTGTCCTTTGGCTCCTGTGCCATCCTCCTTGGCAGCTGCCCCGTGTACCTTTACTGAAGAGACCCAACAGTGCCCAGCCAGTGTGGCTCAGTGGTTGAACCAAAAGGTCACGGTCATATGCCCTTACCAGGTTGTGGTCTCGATCCCCAGTAGGGGGCGTTCAGGAGGCAACCAATCTATGATTCTCTCTCATTATTGATGCCATATATATATAAAATAAAAGGGTAATATGCTAATTAGACCGGACATCCTTCCGGATGAAGCTGAGGCCGGAGTGAAGCCTGGGTCCCTGGTGCCTGCGGCAGCCAGAGTGAAGCCCAGGTCGTGGGTGCTGGCAGGCAGCCGGAGGGAAGCAAGCTTGGGTCCTGGATGCCTGCGGGCGGCTGGAGGGAAGCAAGCCTGGCTCCCAGGTGCCAGAAAGAAGCCAGTGCCGGCAGCCAGGGGAAGGAAGGCCTACTCTTGCAGGAATTTCATGCATTGGGCCTCTATTATATATAGCAACAGTTCCAGCTGCCCCCTCATCACCCCAGGGGCCATACTGTCTGTGTGCTGTTCTACTCTCATTCAAGAGTCTGTCCCCTGCTGGATGGCTCAAAGCCCCAGAGGACAGAGGAAGTAGGAGAGGAGAGCTGAGGCCCCAGTGGAGGCAAAGGATTGGCTAAATTCTGGGTAGGGTGTGACATATCTGTGTGTTGCAGGGGTTGGCCTTGGGCCATCCTTAGCCACCCACCACAAGAGCTTACATCTATCATTTTCTGCTCTTCTCACCTTTTCCCACAAATATATTCAATTCTCTACAGCCTAATACAATCCCTTTTCCCAGCTGCACACCTTAAGCTATGGTCCTACTTCTCTCCTGGTTCTGAAGTCCCTGAAAGAATAATCTCCCCTCGCCAGTCTCTCCTTACTCACAATGCACTCATTCCCGAAGGCTTGGTCTGGTAGTAACCCCTGCACTTTTTCAAAGGAGCTCTTGAAAAGGTCACCCATGACATGAATGCTAAATCAGCCCCCTCTCCCAGTGTGACCTCTTGACCTCTGCCTCCTCAGGAATTCCTCCCTCACTTTTGCTCTCTTCCTGCCCTTCCCACATGGCCCTCTGACCCCTTCACTACCTCTCCTTCCTCTCTACAGCCTGTCCTCAGAGTTCCTCTCTTGGCTGCTCTTTCTTTGGATCTCTCTTTCATTCCCTGTTTTTAATCCT